TTCGATAAGACTTCCGATTAAAAAAATAAATAGCACAATAACACTAATTTTAATTCTTCTGTAAAATTTATTTGGATATAAATTTAAGTAGTTTGATGACACTGTTCATTAATCTGTACGTTAATGACTTAATTATCATAATATGGAATGAAGATGAGCATAGCAAAAGCTAAATTTAAGCTCCTTGTGAAGATTTAAACCTTTTTTTTTTCTATTACTTCCAAATTTCACCAAAAAAACTGAAATAACATTAAATAAAGTCTGTCAATTTTGATTAAACTTTATGAATTCAGTCACATATATTATTTAGATTACATGTTTAAATTAGTCTTATTAAGTCTGCTGGAAATGTTGAGTTTTTACTAAATATGAAATTTTCGGTATTAGTGATGTAAACACGCATGTCGTATGTATGTAAATGTCCCTTTTTTATATACCAAAAATGTCCTTCTCCGTTGTGAATGAATTCAGAGTCTTCTTTCTGGTCTTTTTAATCTGGAAAAGAAATCAACAAGTCATTTCGATGCAATATCACATGAGTTCAAAGTCCTAACTGAACTTTCAGCCAATCATAAGCTTCTAGAAAAAGAAAACTCAGATTTACTTGTCCAACAAATATGGTGCTGAATGTGAATGGGACGTATGGTTCCTTAATATCTGTAGTTTCTGCTTAAATTCTAGTAGAACTGAATAAAAAACGCGTTAAAAAAAGAGGAGAAGTTCATGGAAAGAAAGAGTCTTGTCTTCTCTCTCGTTCGATTTTATGTTTGATTCATATTTATTAGTCATGGGATGTCCTTTTATCATGACATAAAAAATTACACAAAAGGTGCATAATGTTAAGTTATATCCAACAAATTTATATCATTTCCTACAGTTTTAGGTCATGTTTGATCGTTTTATGTCATGTCATATATGTTAATGTCATTTATGACATCATCATTTCATGTCCCGCCATATAGTTAAAAATGAAATTTTGGCAGTTTGTCAATTCACCAGCTAACCAATTTGATCAGTTATCCAACTAAGTAGTTCAAACAATTCTCCTACTAGATAGTTCAACTAGTTTTCATGTCATGCTGTACAACCAATTCTTCTGTTTGGTAATTCAAACAGTTACGTAACTAGGTAGTTCAAGTAGTTCTCCTGCTAAGCAGTTCAACCACTTCGACAGTTAATTCACCAGCTAACCAATTTGATCAGTTATCCAACAAAGTAGTTCAAACAATTCTCTTACTAGTAAATTCAACTAGTTTTCATGTCATGCAGTACAACCAATTCTTCTGTTTGGTAATTCAACCAGTTATGTAACTAGGTAGTTCAAATAGTTCTCCTGCTAAGCAGTTGAACCACTTCAACAGTCATGCAACTTGACAATTTGTTAGTTGTACAATTCAGAATTTTGATAGTTTGAGATTTCAATAGCTTAGCAATTCAACAATTCGACAGTTGAGCAGTTCGACAGCTGGGTAGATTAGACAATTGGACAACTCTTCAGCTTAACAGTTCATCAGCTAGGTAATTAGGGAATTCAGTGGCTAGGTAGTTCATCAACTAAATAATTACACAAATTTAAAAGCGGGGCAATTTAACAACTCAGAAGGTCCAGTGGTTATGAAAACCTATTCAAAGTAAATCTCCTATTGATTCCCCTATATGGATTGAAAACCCGATGTGCTTGATTCTGATTCGAAGAGCCCACGCCACGGGATTCTAACCCCCGACCCAAGGAACTTATGCCAGAGGCCGCACGCACGCACGCACACACACACACACACACACACACACACACCCACACACACACACACACACACACACACACACACATATATATATATATATAATTAGAGAGATTGATGGCTTCAGATTATTTTTTTAGATAATTATCTCTTTGATCAAAGTAGGTTGAATTAGATCTGACAGGTCCTGGACGGGACGTGTTGAAAAATCTACCCCGTGACTGAACCAAGAAGGTCAAGCAAAAAGATGAACAAGTCACCAGCCTAGGAGCAAGCGAAACGACGATCCAAGAGAAAAGGATTCAGCCATAGCAATAGTAATTGTGATGGTTATGAAGACCGACCGATAGTAGAGAACTTCAATGACACTGTCGACATTTCACAGTTCAACTTCTAATTGTTATAAGTATAAGAACAGTAAAATGTAAAGGGATCTCTCTTTCCAAGAAAGGTAATAATTATTCTAGTATTCTTGACTCTTTCCTACATTCTATTTATTGGGTATAATCACGGGATAAATTTGGATTCAATACTCTGAAAGGTGCGGCGAGCATAAATCGTGCCCCAAATAAGATGATGAGGAGTCAAGAAGAAGAACCCCAAACTCGTGAAATCACCAACAACATGACTATTTCCCGTGAGTGTAACTCAATAGATCAACGAAATCAAGGAACAAATGCTAGAAGCATTCAATAGCACTCTTGCCCATGACAGAGGGCAATTGACGCCCCGTCACCCACAAAGGAAGATCACCATCAATGGAGAAAGAGCCCCCGAACCAGATCAAGACACTCACTATCAAGACAGTGTAAGTTCTATGCCACTCGACTATCAAAGATATGAACATGTAGAAGCGTCACGACCCATATTGCCAAAAAATGCCTTCTCTTAGAAAATCTCCAAAACCAAGCCTCTCATAACGATTTAAAAACTTAGCTTTTGAATCTTATGAAGGACGGTCGGATCCAGTTAATCATATTGTCTTTTCGAGTTGGTTGCATGCTTATTGAGAATTAGTGATGCTCTCAAGTGTTCAACGATCTATTGTTGGGAGTAATTACCACCTACATAGATTTCAAGAGAATGTTCGTAAAACTAGTTTGCAAGTGCGCAGAAGCCCCAATAATATTCATAATCTGTCCTAAAATTGTTCCATGGGCAAGATGGAACCTTGTGCACATTCTTAATCCACTTCCAAAAGAAAATGTTGGAAGTATGGGATCTCAAACCTATGGTCGCATGCGACACCCTGACACATGAACTAAGAGAAGGCTGATTTTGTTACGCCTTAGTCCCATAGCTGTTCAACATCGATCGAGCTATTGGAACTTGACAACAACCATATATTTTTTGAAGAATATAATTAACCACCAAAAAAAGGTCACCTGATAGATACCCACTAAAGAGAAGTGCTCACGAAGAATGTTGAGGACAAAGGAGAAATACATGTCCACCCACCAGGGTCCTATTCGAGGAGTGAAAGACATCTCAGATGACCAAACAACAGAAAAAGAGATTTACTATGAACATTGATCGTATCTTGAGAAACAAGTGAATCAGCGCAACGAAAGGAGGCCACAACTTCCAACCCGCAAAGTTACTCGACGCACACTATTAAGTGTCTCAATGATAGAAGTGGTAGAAGCCATTCAAAATAAATATTTTTCAAGAAAGCACCACCAATGAAGGCGGGAGGCTATCTCCGAGACCCTAAGAAATAATGTGCATAACACAAAGATCACATACATGAAACAGAAGAATGTTGACACCTCCATACTTTGATTGAAGAGATAATCAATGTTGAGCAGCTTGAAAAACTTATGGAACCTGAGGCGGCGATACAGTTTCAAGGAAAGGTACCAGCCAATAGAATACTTGTGTCTCCGAAGGAGTTCAAGATAATGCTGGAAGAGTTGTTCCTCCTCAACGGCATGTTGAACATCTGTGATTCCATCCCATGGTTGATGTCCTCATTCAATTCATTGAAAATCTAACTCTCGAGGTCAAGCTCGACAGGAACAGCTTGAAAGCTTTCTCCCAGGTAGCTTAAATCTTGTTATATGATTATTTTCAACAAAATAAAACTGTGCATTTGATAAATTCAAATTTCACGGATTTGGTCCCAACCTCGTTAATTTTTAGCTTATTTGTCAGAAATAAAATGAAAATTTTAAAAATATTTGTTTCAAGTGTATTTCTTACTTGAAAAGAAAAAATGAAATAGACATTTTCAAGTAAGGGCCATCCATGTAAAAACTGAAGTTTGTGATAGATATGCAAATACATAAGAATTGAGTGGTATGTTCATAATTCCCTGTTAATTTTATGGTGAGAAACCCATTAATTGTAAGAGGAAACAAAACAAATTAATCCACACGAATGCCATTGAAAAAATTTTCCCTCATTTCTCCTTATGTATTTCTTCGAAAGTTTCCTGCTTTAGCTCATTCTGGAGATGACTTGAATCTAGAGTCAGTCAATTCCCTCTGGCCCGTCAATCCAATCCACACGGAGAGCCACCTTGTCAAATGTATTGCCAAGGAAAACCCTGACCAACCATTCACACTACGAATTTTATATTTATTTTGAAACATAAATGGGAAACCTTTCAGAATTTCGACATTAAACATCTCTACATTAGAAGTTGGATTTTTTATTTAACATTTTAAGAAGTTACTAATAGTAATTTTTTAATGTCATTTCAAACATTTGAATGGTATGTTTGTAAATATGAAAGTATAGATTTTAGTTATGTAAATTTATAAAAATTAAGATGTAAGAATGTAGCTTAGCCCTAATGAGTGACTGTTAATTTAAGGGTGTGCATTTGGTTTGTTTAAATAGTTTGGACTATAAATATGTAAAACCAATTGACTTTTTATGTCTAAGAAATTATCAGAACAGACCAAACAAAACTCGCAACTAAACCAATCCAAACAATAATTTGGTCACATTTTTTCAACATCAAATATAATGCATCAAGAAAAACCTAACATTTTTTCGTTCCAAAACTCCTAAATATATATTCTAAAACAATAATTTGCATAGCATTTCCAAACATTTGCTCATACCTTTCCAATATACTAAGCCAGAAGTTCTAAGAAAAGTCTCTCTTTTTGTTTATTCAATAACTCTGCACTTTCCGCGAATTTGTATCATCTTTATTGCCACCAAACTCAATGAATCAACCATTCTAAGAATCAATCATTCACATGAGAAGTAATCTATGTATCTATCTGAACATATAAAATGAAAATCTTTACCAATAACAATAATCCTCCCAGCTTCTTCAATAAATACCCCCTTAAGCCCTTCTTCCGAGTCATCACCGCTTGAAAGCACTGGAGCTGCTCATACTGAATAGCCCCGCCACCTCCGCCGGAGATGGAGCTTCCGCCGTCCCCATGGGTAACATGCTCTGCAATCCTCGCTCTCCTACTAGCCCTTATCGTCAAAACAATCACAAACAGTCGTCGTCATCGGCCAAAACTACCTCCTGGTCCCTTTCCATGGCCGATCATCGGAAACCTGAACCTCATCGGCGCACTCCCCCACCGCTCCATCCACGAACTCTCTAAGAACTATGGCCCCCTCATGCAGCTTCAATTTGGTTCCTTTCCGGTAGTAGTGGGATCCTCTGTTTCCATGGCCCGTCTCTTTCTAAAAACTCACGACCTCGCATTCGCCGGCCGCCCTAAAACTGCTGCCGGAAAGTACACGGACTACAACTACTCCGACATCACGTGGTCGCCTTATGGACCTTACTGGCGTCAAGCACGTAAGATGTGCATCACTGAGCTCTTCAGCCCTCGAAGCCTCGACTCCTACGAGCACATTCGCTCCGCCGAACTGCGCGGGCTTCTCCGCCGCATCTTCGACGCTGCGTGCAAGCCCATCCATCTCAAAGACCACCTCACCACTCTAAGTCTCAATGTCATAAGCCGCATGGTCTTGGGCCGCTGTTATCTCAACCCCACTGCCGAGGAACAGGATGCGCCGCCACACCCCGTGTCTCCGAAGGAGTTCAAGACGATGCTTGACGAGCTTTTCCTCCTCAACGGCGTGCTTAACATCGGCGATTCAATCCCATGGATAAACTTTCTCGACCTGCAAGGCTACATTCGTCGGATGAAAACCGTTGGCCAAAAATTCGATCGATTCATGGAGCACGTTTTGGAAGAGCACATTGGCCGACGGGTGAAAGAGGGGGATAATTTTTCGCCCAAAGATATGGTTGATGTCCTCATTCAATTCGCGGAAAATCCAACCCTCGATGTCAAGCTCGACAGGAACAGCCTCAAGGCTTTCTCTCAGGTAGGCTAAATCCTGTCAGACATTTATTTTGGACAAAATAAAATTGTCAATTTGATAAATTCGGATTTCACGGATTTGGGCGGGATTTGGAGAAAGAGCTGTTCAAATGTAAATCATTCAGAATGATTTACAGGATTTACTAAATTTTAATTACTTAAATGTCATCTTTCACCTTACGGCCCCTTAGTTTGAGATCAATCGATTTATGTTTCAAAATTGCATTTTGATAAAATTCGGCTTCAGGACCTAATCGCGGGGGGCACAGAGAGCTCTGCAGTGACGGTGGAGTGGGCAATGTCGGAGTTGTTGAGGAAACCGGAAGTCATAAAGAAGGCGGCAGAGGAGCTCGATCGCGTCATCGGAAGGGAGCGGTGGGTGGAGGAGAGAGACGTGCAGGACCTCCCGTATATCGAAGCCATCGTGAAGGAGACGATGCGGCTGCACCCCGTAGCACCCATGCTGGTTCCTCGCCAAGCTCGAGAGGACGTGGTGATCGACGGCTACGATATTCCGGCCGGCACGCGCATCATCGTCAACACCTTCACCATTTCTCGGGATCCTTCCATTTGGGAAGAGCCGGAGGAATTTAAACCGGAGAGGTTTATCGGTCGGGAAATAGATGTGAAGGGGCATCATTTCGAGCTTCTGCCATTCGGGTCAGGGAGGAGGATGTGCCCTGGCTACACGCTGGGACTCAAAGTGATTCAGTCTAGTCTGGCTAACATACTTCATGGCTTCAACTGGCGCCTGCCGGATGGGATGAAGGGGGAGGAGCTCAGCATGGAGGAGATATTTGGGCTTTCGACGCCGAAGAAGGTGCCGCTCGTTGCTGTGGCAGAGCCCAGGCTGCCCCAGCACATCTATTGAGTGGAAATGAGTTTTGGTGAGGGCATAATCATTTGTGTGATAGTTATTTTGAGATTATAAATAAATAATAACTCTAAAAAAATTAATGAAATTTCGCGAGATCAGAATGATATTTGTTTGCTGCCCCCATTCAGTTGTTGTATGTTAGTGCTTAATAATTGTGGTTAGGGGTGTAAACGAACAGAGTTTGTGTTCGTGTTCGGTTCGTTTGAAATTTAATTTGTTTGAAATAAGCTCATGTTCGGAATTGTTCGTGAAGTCACTGTTCGTATTCGTTTCTTAACGAACGAGCCGAACACGAGCTGTTCGCGAACGACGCGCCAGTTTGACATCCCTAATATTAATATATAAAAATAATATTATATATTAATTATATAACTTATATTATATAAATATACAATATCTATATTAGTATATTACTACTATATATTAATATATTATTATTATTATTATTATTTTATTATATATTATAATTAAATTTTTTATATATAATTATTTTAAATTATTTTATATTTCGAACAATAACGATTTGAATAAGAACAAACGCGTCACTGTTCGTGTTTGTTTTGTTTAGCTAATCAAACGAAAAAAAATTTATTCACATTCGTCTCGTTTACTTATCGAACGAATCGAACACGAACTCTTTGACGAACCGAACACGAATTGTTCAGGAAGAACGAGTTTTTTTGACAGCCCTTGTGGTGTACATCGAAAAAGTGTGGAGATCTACTAGTTGAAATGAGAGTTGTACGATGGAACAAATATTAGGTCAGGAGTCATAAATCCTAATGCATTAGGACTCTACTGGTGGGGCGCCACGTGTCAAATGACCCCACCATAATACATTTTTTTGGGGGTCACCAAAACATGACCCCCCATCATTGGAGTCCTAATGCATTATGACTCCTAACCTAATATTTTTTTTTTGTACGATGAGCCTACTTATCTGATCGTCATAATTAAAATCTCATATTGTTAGAAAATTTTAGTTCATGACATCAAAGTTTGGCTCATATTTACATTCAATCAAATTTAATGGCTCCTAAAGATTCATAAGTTCATACACTTATTTGGAAGCAAATAAAAAAGAAAAGCCAAAAGTTGGCAAAGAAAACATCCACATAGTATTTATGAACTTCAATTTCAGTGTGTTTGTAAACCCATAGCTGGTAAATTACTTGGCCAACTGATTAAAAATAAATAACATCAAAGAATACCCTAAACAAAACATACTTAACACTAGTGGCATCTCGATAATTATTTGTTGTAATTGATTAGCCATTGCGGGGTAAGTGGAAAATGTAAGCTTTTGATTAATCAGCTTATCAGATGAATAAATATTTGATCATTTTGTGGTTTTGTGTTTTTTATTTTTTTTCTCGAGGTTGGAGGTTTAATTAAAAAAAAAAAAACTTATGAAGAAAATTGAGAAATCGTTTTTTTTCCTTAATTTTTATCAAAGTTAGTGTCATATAATGTAGATAAAATTTGATTCAAAATTTTAAATATAATTTCCACGTTTTATAAGTTAAGCCGTTCAACGCCAAAACATAAGTGCTCATATATACTCTTGCAATCAACAGAACAGTACAAATTTCTAAGAGCATTGCATCACCTATGGCGGCAAAAACTCCGGCTAACAAAAAAATGAAACTGAGAAAATCAGTAAGAATTTCTTCATCCAATCAGATTCTTAAATAATTATATTATTTTTAAATATTATTAAAAAATTTTGAATATGTTTTATTTTTATCAATATTAAATATCGGCCGAACATTTGATATCATTTTCATTATTGTGTTGTCCTATAAGTAAAAATATTGTCTTTTAGCAAAATACTACTAAATAAATAATGATGACAAATACAAATTGTTGAATCCTGATTTGTGTGTGAAACACATCCCAAAGAATAGCGCATAAGAAATGAGAGAGAGACACACAGAGAGATAATTGAACAGCAATGAACAATAATATGTCTTGTCCATTGTGATTTATTCATAAAATGGTCTCCCTATTTTTAGAGAAGAGGGTACAATATATTGATATTACATTTATGCCTCTGCTTTAAATTGGGGATGTGCATGATATTTCAATTATTTTACGTATACGAGTTTATCACCCAGTTGTTCTCTGTCTCGGTCGGCTTCATTAGTATGACTTCGGCTCGGTGAGGTCAATCTAGTCGACTAGGTTGAACTAGTGTTGTTGGTTGGCTTGCTTGATCATTGCAGGTCAGTAGGACTGACTCATTGGGATAGACTTTGTCTATTGGTTGGTTTAGTCTGGTCATCGACCATTGATTCCTGGATGAGGAGCTTTTGTCGATGAGGTGACACTAGACTATAGTGCAGAAAGTGAATCACTATAACTCGATAGATAGCTCTTTCATCGACAAGGTGAGTCTGTGGGATGATTATAAGATATAATGTATTGTCAATTCTTATTCCCATATGAGCAGGCTTGGGGGCGTTAGTAGAATGATCGGTGATATTAAGGAACTTGATTCTTTCCTCTGATCAGATCTACTGGAAGGTAGGTCGATGTCTTCGCTCAGCTTTCTTGTAATGGTTAGCTCAGATGCTTATATATCTTGCTTTAGGTTTTTATTGATTTGGACTCAGATCGTTTGGCCTTTTTTATTTATCCTTCTCTTGGCTTGATCGGTCTTAGGCTTTGGCTCTAACTGTTACAAACAATATAAAAAGTGTTCCCCAGATCCACAGTTGGTGGACCCTCCGTTGTCGTACTTTCTCTCTTATGGATTGTTGGATCTCTTTGGGATCCGTGTTAGCACAATTTTAATGTAAATTTTTTAGTTCTAGATTCTCTTACTTCTTGAAAACAACATTGTGATAAGGATAATTGAATTAAATGCAAAAAAAAGTAGATATTATTTCTTTCTTAATCAATGCTTCAATAATTGAATTCTCTATATTTATGTGCCCTTGGCTCTTATAAATAGGTCGTGGCACGCACTTTGCTTCTGTTCATCATAATTGGTCGACTTTCAAGCACTTTCATTGGAAAACATCTCGAATCCTCCAGTTGAGCTCCATGGCAGAGAAATGCTTCCTGCTCCACCGTCCTGAAGGTGATAAGAGGAAGAAAGCCGCTGCCAAGAAGAAGAAAACATGTAAGCCAGAGGATTAAGTAGGCCAATCTGACTCTGCTCTTGGTCCTCGGCAGAGGAAAAATCAGCGGATGACAAAAGTAGGTTTGACGGCTTGAGTTCAGTCTGTAGGTTCAACCTTCTATTGTAGCTCGAGACCTACCAGCTGAACAACCCACTCAGAAAGTTGCTAATGCTCTTCTGCCTGGGCTAAAAGAAGTTTTGGGTGCTCTATTTCTACCTGGTGAGTGTCGTGTGTCGATTACATGGATTGAATTTGATCGACTCCATGATATGAGGAGCCACGGTATTGTTTTTTTATGTTTCGATTTTTTCTACCTTCTTTACCTTACATTTTTTCCTGGTCCAGCCGATCCGATCGACCTAGAGATGAATCGCCTCCATCACACATTGGTGAGGATCCAACCGCAGTGCCAGTGGTAGCAACCCTAACACCGGTCGGGAGCGTGTATGGCGGGGTTGACCGTCTAGACAATCCTTACGTCATGACTTTTTTTTAGTGCCCAAAAGTCTAGATAAAAAATCAAAAAGGTTAAGGGGCATCTACAATATTATTTACAATTTTTTATGATTTTGTTTTCACACACACACACCCAAGCCCCCACATGTTATACATGCAAGGTTTGAATCAAAGACCTCTTGATTAAAAGTAAAAGTTCTCACCCACACGGCCATTGTGGCTTGCATAACAATACCATTTACTTCAATTATGATGAGCAGAGTAGTCGAAATTTCTCTCTATCAAAACTATCTTGACTGTCTCAACCTCACTAATCCTATTTGTGCTTTTCGGTGCCAGCTATGGATTAATTTAGATCCAAAATACCCCTAATTTTGATCCACATTATTGACTTCAAATTATGCATGATTTCTAGTTTTTTTATAAGCTAGTTGATTTTATTTACTTTTGAACATTTTAGAAAATGAATACCCAAATCAAAATATGTTTAACATAATGAATTGTTTGTCAATCAATTAATACAAAAAAATAAATAGGCCATAAAACATTGGGGAATTTACATGAATACCAATGAATTCCTACTTTTTTGCTATTTTGCATTTCTAACTTCTAAACTTTACTTTTTATATTTATTCCACCCAAATCTTTTATATTACATAAAAAATATCATTATTTTAACCGTTAACTTTTAGCATATTTGTCAGAAATAAAATGAAAATTTTTTAAAATATTAGTCACAAATGTTTACCTAAACTGAAAAGAAAATGTGAAACACACAATTTCAAGTAATATGCCATCAATATAAAAATTGAAGTTTGTGATAGATATGTAAATACATAAGATTTGAGTGGTATGTACATAAATCTTTCTAAAATCTTATGATGGGGCCATCCTGCACAGAATCGCTTTGAAAGCTTCCTGCTTTAGCAGTTTTATACGCCCACTTGGTGTCTCCCCTGAGCTCATTCTGGAGGAGACTTTAAATCTAAAGTCAGTCAATTCCCCCTGGCCCGTCAATCCAATTCACATGGAGAGCCACCTTCTCTGATTTACTGCCAACAAAAACATTGATTAATTATTCACACTACCAATTTTCGACATTAAAAATCTCTACATTATAAGTTGTATTTAACATGTTAAGAAGTTATTAATGGTAATTTTTTTAAGGTGATTTCAAATATTTGAATGGTATGTATGTAAACATGAAAGTATAGATTTTAGTTATGTGTAGCTTGGCCCTAATGAGTGACTGTTAATTTAGGGGAAATTCACATACATGGCACAAAGTTCTTATATATTTTCGTATCTCAAACCTAAGCTTTCAAATTTACATATATGTCACTTTTGTGCTTTAATAAAGCCTATGCATGCAAATGTGTATTTTGCTTTTAAGAAGTTGTATTAGTGATGTTGTTTATGTGAAATTAAAGTTTGAAGCTTTATGTGTGAAAATATGAAACTTTAGGTTTGGGATATGTAAATACATAAGACTTGTGTGTTATGAATGTAAATTCCCCTTTTAAAAGGAAAAT